AAAATTTCGCTGACATTACAAGTCGATGTTAGGCGAATCTGGAGGATTAAAGTTTGGAAACGCCATAGTGTCAGCAGCCATTAAGTTTAACGTTAGATCCATGGGAATAGAGAGTTTACGGGTCGTTAACAACGGCGAGAAGATAATGCGACCTAGTTAAGATTCTACGGTCTCGGAATGACGACAATATTGCAAGCTCTGTGGGTACCGAGGGCCGCCCTCGTATTTTCATAATTCCACGATAGAATACATATAGCGGGTAACCCCATGGCTTTTGGCAGCGCCGCCATAATGGTTCGATCGTTAGGCATCACCAGCCACGTAACTGCTACATTCTTGTCGGCGACGTCATCCTGAAAAAATTATGTGAACACCATGTTTACGTGCGCTATTTGGCAACATGAAATATTTTTATCTCACGCAATATCTTCGCCAAAGAATATTCTTCAAACGTTCGATAAATCCAGCACTGATTGTGTCGAAAAAAATTAATGAATATAAATTACCTAATACTAATTTGCTGTAAAAATTATAATATTCCAAACCTTTTTTCTTCATTTCGAATAAATATTTCAAGAGAATTTTTATATTTTAAAAATAATGGTTATTCCCACATAGAAATTTCTGGAAATAATTCAGTGACAAGTTCAGCTCGTCTTATCTATAGTAATAGGTATGCTGTACAGTAATCAGGCGACAAAATATTTATTGCTGTTATTGACAGAGTACCGTTGACAGTTCAAACTGTCACGACTATAGTTGTTTTTCTAGATGAATTAATAGACGTCTAACGCGACACTCTACGACTGGCTATTCAATTTCGTAAAAGTAGGAATATCATGTTCGCATAAGACAAACGTTCCATTACGCTAAACTATGCATACAGGCTGTCTGTGTACTACGTTATCGAGAATGATCGTTTCATCCTCTATACATGTATAATACATACAACCTATATCCGTTTACTTTAGTAAACCCTTCCGCATTGTCCGTTATCAGCAAACATTCAAATCCAGTTTTCTTTTTATATCGATATCTTCCCAGACGTAAGGAAAAAATTGTTAATGTAAACAATACTAAGAAAAATCGCTAAAGGATCCTTCTTAACCTAAGTTCATTATCGTATCCTCGAATCTTCATTGTCATTCTTATCGTACCTTTTTCCGTACTGGTCCATTTCAGAATCGTAACCAGTTGTCGCAGGAGCGGCAAAGGCATTTTCATCCTAAGCTGTAAATCCCCTGAAAAGGCGTACGGGAGACGCGAATCCGACAAGAGATATAAATGTAAAGAGGTACCTATATACAGTTAACTGTTGCGCGTTACCAAGTAGAAGGGATGAAAGGTCGGCGACGATATCGTGAAGGTTCGTCATCCAGTGGGTACGCGTCCTGGGACCGCACTAAACGAAACTCGAGAGCATCCTAATGAAACGACAGCATGTGTCGTGTTCGGGGCGCAAACGAACCAAGTTCGAGTGTCGTAGGATAGGGGTGCGCGATGAGGCCTCGACAAGGCTGAATATACTGGAACAAGATTCGAGCCCAGGTCACGAGGGCGTCGTAAGGCGAAGCAGAGAAAGGAAATGGTATGGCTGCTAGGTAGGTAGGTTGGTACCTACGTCTAAGGAAGGAATAGGTAGGTAGTAAGGTAAGGGTGGGTGGTAGGCACCTTCGGTAGCAGCTAGGGGAATGGAAGAGGGCAAATAAGAGAGAGAGAGAAGCAGGGGTGGTAATATCTTCATTTGCATTGATGGCGTTCTTCGTCGATTCGGTCTGAACCAACGGGCTCTCCGGGTTTTCCTGGGCTTCCTTCTCTCGCTTCCCGAAGCTTAGTCCCTGGGAAAATCCCCGGGAGGAGGAACGGCGAAAGGGGGAGGCCAGGTTCTAAAGGGTCGTGCACACTCCTACGCGACGAAACGAGATGCGAACGATCGCAAAGACTGTTACTGCTCTTCCGGCGATAACCTTGCCGACGTCGAAAACGTCACCATACTTTTTAGACCTGCTCGACCCTTCACCGGCTAGATCACTGTGGATGATAACGCGTCTGAACCAATGGAGACATTAACGAAATCGCGAATAAGGACTTTCAGGTTTTTAGGGTGAAAGATACCGTGGGTTATAATTTTTAGAATTCACGGAAACGGATCAATGGTATGTCGTAAGACATATATTACGGATATACATATATATATATATTATTATTATTTCAAAGGTTCACGAATGCATCTATAATAATTCTATAAATTCTCTCAGCGTATCTGACAGAGTTCGTACCTACGTATTGGTAAAGATATGAGACGTAGGAGGAGCTAAAAGAAGTCCATTCCTTTCCGGTTCGACGATATAGATAGAACGTAGCAAAACAGGCAGCTCACCCTACGCTTATAGGTCCGTTCCTGCTATATACCTTTTGCTACCTTTCATACTAGTATCTTCTTGACTTCTATTCCATATCCCATGCTCCTGAATAGTATCCCATTCTATGCCGTGTTATATACTATATATACTATATAGTAGCCTCGTCTTATTTCAGCATACTCGACCCCCATCGCATACCGCTTCATCCTTTTCCCATCGCAGGCCAACCTTTCCAATCTATGCCGCGGTGGTTATTACAAGCTATCCCGTAAAAAGGGGTAAAGCCTAAAATTAGTTGGAAACTTATATCCTAGCTACGTTGCTCGAACTAAGCTTTAGGAGTTGCGTTCTATCTTCCATCCATACCTTCTTTAACTCATTCCACCTGTTTCACCCTTATACCCCCTTACTCCCACTTCACTATCCCTCGGTATGACGGCTCTCGCAGCTTTGGCGAATTAAAAGCTTTTTTCTCCTCTTTATTCTTCTTCTCCATATCTTTCGGTGCCCTGCGCTTTTTCATAATACGCGTATAGGATATAAACCCTCGGAGTGCTTTTGAGTTCTCTAAGCTCTCACAGAACGGAAAAGGCACGCGCCTACACGTGAGTAGGTAATACGTCATGACTCATGAGTCTTTTTTCTGAGTGAGTATCCTTGTCGAAGATTTTTCCTTAAGAATTTCGATTTATCTTAGGCCCCTCGTGGAGATGGAACCAAGCAATAAAATATGACGAAATTTAAATTTAGGTTTCCAGTACGATAGTGGTTTTTTTTTTTCAAAAAAAAGATCCTTCGTCTTTATTCATAATCAGAATCGTATCCATAATAAAAATATAATATAAACGTGAATAACATGTCAAAAGCGAATTGCTTTTCAATAAAAGCACCATGTAGACGTCTTCAATGTAAAGATAACGTTTACCCACAAAATTTGCTTACGCAGATAGATAACACTGCAGCCTCTTCCAGTCTGAATAGAAAAAGCGGATAGGAAAGGTCACAAGGTAAACCTAGTAGAGAATCAAGTAAAGAGAGTCCATCGCCTATAAAGTCCCAACCCAGTGGATCCTGGATTTCCAACTTGAATATCTAGTTGGGTAATCGCAAATCCTTCGATAGATTCAGGATTAAACTTAAGCCCCGCACCTCTGCCCCTCGGGGACTGTCCAAGGATTTTGCGGTCCTAAAATAGAGCAAAGTTGCGCTTATCATTTTCCAGAACAGTGCATGCTTGCCATATTGCTCTGTATCTTTCATCGCACGTACCGGGTATACTTGCATATTCACATATGCATATGTGTACTATGGATATACGTAGGAGAGTGGTATGAGCGTCGCGAATAATATGATATTCCTTTCTTGCAGCAAGTTGCACTTACGGGGTGCAATCACTATAACTTGCCGATGAGAAAAATTCTTTTACCCTCGGTTGAGGAAGGGGGTGAGAAGGGGGGCTAACGAAGAATAACTGACCGGATATCCGCAGTGTTACGGTAGCCTCGAGCATACTGGAATATTTTCTTCGCGACCGAACGACGACGATAATTGCACCTGGTGCGCTTGTTACTTGGTGCATATTTGCGCCGCGTCGCTGCTGCAATACTATCCCATGATATTTTTCTTACCGAGGGTATTCTTGAAGTGTGAATAACAAATATGAAAAAGATAAACGAACTAGTCATATTTTGCTAATACTTTTGGGATACGAGGTAAACGAGGTTATTGAATTTTGATTGCCAAGAGTATACAAGACTGTGATATATCTTACAGGGTGGGATGATTATCGCGTTTAAGGTAAAACGAAGAGAAAATTTGGGGGGGAGAGACGCGGTAGGAAAAAAATTTTGAAAGTTTTAGCTGCAGATAAAATGATTTAATTTTTTTCCAGAAAGCTGCTTCCGGTATGCCTCGTCTCTTTATAATCCATGCAAACGACCACGTCGTCCCGGGAGGTCCGAACTTGGAATGAAGTCGTAACTTCGTGAGTTTTAATTTCCGCCTTAAATACACCAACCGAGTGGATGAATCAAGTGGAAAATAGTGGATATCGGTGTACGCGATGTATAATAAAAATTTCCACTTGAGCATCCATGGCCGTTAATACAGGCTAAATATCGTTACAACAATCATTATGATTCCTTCCTGGTAGAAACGCTCTATATAATCTTATAATATATTTAACGAAATTGCGTCACGTTAATCTCAACAGCATCCATTAATCATTATCAATAAGTGCAACGGCAGCCTCCTAAAAGTTTCGAAACTGATATCCAGATATATTTACATCCTAAAGCCAATATCGCAACCGTCGGATAGAAAGGCGCGTGATAGGATTTTTGAAAATTAGCTAAAGAGGGTAGTTTCTCTTTGCTCTACTTTTACTGAACACGGCAACCGAAACGGGGTTGATCGTTTGGCTAACCGGAATCGCGATTTCGTTTCAAATGATGATCTTGCTCTTGTGCTGCTTTGTAGCTCAGGACACCCTGGGAAGCGTGTAGGCGTAACGTGCAGTTATTCCGAGGGTTCTCTAGGATAACTAGGATATATCCAGGATCGGACGAAACGCCCGTGGAAGGTGGCGGTCCTCTGCTCTGTTTCTCGAGGGGTGTCTTTCTATCTATCGACCGTGGGGGATGGAGACGCGCGCACGATTTCTCTCATGCGAAACGAGAAGAGAGGAGAAAAGATCATGGCGGCGCCGTCGGAACCCGAGCGACCAGACCTCTCAGCGTTCATCTCTATTTATCTATCTATCTACGTGCTAAGGTCGCTATAATTCCTGTATTTAACTATATATATTTATTTTATATATTTACCTAGCTATGTATCTATCAACCCTTTAGAAGACTGTACATTTCGATGATGCCTTTACTGAATTTTCAATGTAGGACTATGTCATGCCGAAGCTCTGATGCACCGTATGTACAGGGTGCTCCAGAATTGATTCGCTTTTAACTATTTATGTTTCAGGTAATAGGACAGGATCTAAGGCTGGATCGTCTGATAATTTCGCCATTATACGAATAGCTTCATCCACTTAAGGATAAAGGAATGAAGCTTTGCCAACTATGCACTTTTTTTACTGCACTGCACAGAACTGCACTGATACGCTAGGATAGGTACGTGATATTATTATTTACTTCTTTTTCAGATTTCCAACAGATCAATCACAAGTAGTTTTCTTGAATTTGGCAAATTAAAGCTTAACGTGGGGTATGGAAGTTTATTAAATAAAAATATTTGACATATTACGCTCGTAATTGATGTGAAGAAAATATCGAGTTTAAATAATTAAAAAAACTTTACGAATATTCTATTTTTGTAGAAAAAAATCAAGCCCACTATTCGGAAATTCGGAAATCCGTGTTTTACAAAAAAAAAAAAAAAAATATGCTGCGAAACACGACATGAAACGGAATCTCATATTGTCTCTAAGAACATCCTGATTTTGTGTTCGCGTTTTTCCCTGTTTTACGATACTTCCCATCAGAGGCAGCCATCCACAAAATTGCAGGATCTCTCTCAGCTTCCTCTCGTACGTATATCGTGTCCGGTTTCTCCTGGGCGTCTTACAGACATGCGGTTTGTCCAATTCCGCGCACCATAGCGGACATTCGTCGTCGGCTTCGTTCCGGAGTGTATTAGATTGGCCCGGGGATACGTGACCTCGATGCAGAATCTCGTCCCTAACTCTACTTAAGCTTTCTTGCCCTCTCCACTGTCTCGCGAGCTAACCTGACCTTTCCTCGAATCGCCAATTCCATTTCTATATAAAACTCTCCGTCGTCCCGACTACGGCACTTCCGCCCTTTTCTGGACGTTACATCATATTCTGTTTGCAATGCCATCCCATTCCCTTATGCGAGGAGCTGTAGAGCCAATCTACTCTGCGCACGTACGTTCTCAAAACACCCTCTACATACAAGAATTATATTCTGCTATCTAGTCTTCTTACCAGGTCCACCATATTCCACGAAATGGATTCTTTTCCATTTGTGTTTATGGAAGCTTGGATTTTGATGGAAACCACACCTTAGGCCGAGCGCACCTTTACTCGGGTGATTTTACGGGTCAATTTTTTAATGGGTGGGTGGGTTCTGTAACTATCTTTTAAAATTCTTGAAAAGTCACTTTCTGTTAGCGCGAACGTCAATGGAGTTTATTATGGTAAATGAGATTAAACGAAAGAGCTTGAGATCCTCCTCCATTGATTTAGGAGCGTCGTTTAACGGATAAGATTCAAATTCATATGTAGCAGTTTTCAGAGTTCGAAATAGCTGTAAAAGTTCGAGCAAGTGAAGATTCTACGTGTAACGGATATAGGTAGCCAGAATAGCGATTCTTCTATGTATTCAACTCGTTGTGCCCCAGCAAAGAGCAATTCCTATTCGAACGACTTTCCGTAAAAACGTCTGATCATCAGACATTGTTAAATATATTACACATAAGACTTTCTGTATATGTTCCTGAAATTGCTCGGAATCGTACTTAAAACACTAAATTACTTTCTTCACCAAATACAACATGTACGTAAAACTTCTTAATGGAAATAAGATCTTAAAAAATTCTGTATAAAAAAGAAACAAGATTTCCCAATACAATTTATATTGACGAGAACTGCAGGAAGCAGATATAACGTTTTTCATTTCGATTCCCCTTAAGTAAAGGAAAGAAAAAAGGCTCGAGTCTTTTCACGAGATTTCCTATCTTCTTAACTTCCTCCCTATATATAGATATAGTACTACGACACTTACTGAAATGAACTTGGCCTTAAATGTTTCTTCGTTAATATAATACCCCGGGATAAACAGTCAGTATACTATTCCATTTATTTTTTATTTTTGAAAAAGCCAAAAATCCTTATTTTTTATTTTCAATTGTCAAAACAAAAAATATAAATATTCTAAGGGTGGCCGTGAAAAACTGTCGCGATAAAATTTCCGTAATACGAACCCCTTAAATGATTCAGGCCTGACGTCATAGGCAAATGGCTACCACTCTCTAAGCAAAGTGTTTAGCATTTCACCATAGGGTATACGTACTATCTATGTAGGTAGGTACAAAATATACATACAGCGAATACCGAACGTTATACTAGGAACCAGGAAGCCGGTGCCTTGGTTACGACATAGAAGGTATTTTCTACGTCCGCACCCTTTCTCATCCGACTACGATGTAGGTATAGCATACCTCACCCTTCGATATTTTCATCCCTTCCTACTGGCTGCTTTGAAATTCCTACACGGACTCCAACTTTTCATGTGCTTCAACTAAAGTCGTCCACCGTATCTGAAAGTTTTCCTGCTCTTTTCTGAAATCCTACCAAATGAGACTTGGCCGTCGCCATTGAGATAGATACATAGTTGACTGAGCACATATAGTTGCACATACTATAACTATATACATCAACTATGTATAAGGGCTTATGTATTTATCAGCATCCATCGTTGTTACTTTGACAACTCACCCTTACATCTATTTCTTATACTTTTTACTGCAGATGATTTTCTGTTCGAGCCCAACGACTTCGTGCTTGCTATAAAAATTTTTTTTATTTACTTTTTGTTTTTTGTTACAGTTACTGTGTAACTATGCGTATATGTCACTGTAAGAGAAAGTTTGATATATTTAGTGATTTTTGTTATTTGCGATTATAGAGAAATGTAAATTGATTGAATTAATTACAAATTAAAGTTTTAACTTACGATCACTTAGATAATCGTACCAGAATGATATAAATAACTAAGTACGGAAATTGCTAAAAAAAATTTATTTTTACGATTTCATTAATCGCAAGTCCGTAAATAACATTCGTTTATCTATAATATGCACGTATTCAGTGTCTATAGTCGTTTCATTATGTATCTGTTCAACCAATACGAATCGTTACGCAATGATATAAACTGTATAAGATAATATTAGCTATAAAACGCCATAAAAATATTTCTGAACATATGTCACTTTTGTCCAACCAATTTCTACTGTATCAAATTGATATCGCTAAGCTCAGAGTCCACAAATAAACGCATTTCAAGAAATAATATTTTACCATGAGTCCAATGACTTCTGCAGATTATTGCTAATTGAGACATCTTATCCTGATTTCTACCCTATCAACGTCGAATCGAAAAATTCAGGATCCGTCCTATTAATTCCGGATTGTTAGAAGTATGAAATTATGCAGCACCAAAATATATTAGCATTTGAATAATTTTCAAAAAAGAATTCTGCATCGGCATAAAGTTAATATACAACACGAAAACCAGTTTTAGCCATGGAAGTGGTGAACGTAAAGATGCATCTTTATGATTTCACCCAGGTTCATATGATACAGGTATCGATGCTGCAGTATATATGGGAATGCGCTTCGAATTCTCTTTTTGATTGTGAATCTTCATGTAAGCTTTTGGAATCGTGATTCTTGGAGGATTGGACGATTTCGGATTTACTCGTGTTATTTACACGAATCACATGTGCTGTACCGTATGCACGTGACTGCAAAACAAACTTGGGACGTGGTGTCGTTCGCTGTAGAAACGTTGCTAAGTTAATCGGGTAAGACTGGCTCTCTGCCAAATAGAGTATAGGAGCAAATAGAAAGGGGCCGATGAAAATGCTTTGATAGGATTCCTGGATACGAAAAAGAATATGGTGAAACCAATCGAGTTGAAAAAAAAAATATGGAGCTTCTTTCCTTTACACATAGAGATTTTTCAGTCATTCTTCATACACACAGAGATGTTTTTGCTTGATGATCTTACTAGTTATATCTAATTGGCACGTAACATAGGTATACAATGACGTTACCTGAACGAGAGGAGATGCCGTTGCAGTAAATGCATAAATGATGCACCGTTGCACTAAGTGCAGAAGATCCGCTGACATTGTTTATTGATGCGTTGCTCTTTGGATTTTAATCGTTTGAAACTGTTTTTGAGTTTTCGTAAGCTTGAGTAGTTCTTTTTCAAAAACATTTTCTTTCAGCAATTCATTTCATCGGTACCGTTATGCACAGTGCTTCTACCTTGGCAGAATGCTATGGTCAGTCATGTTTCTTTTTCAATCCGGAACGCGAGTTTAGGGTAAACACGAAAAAAAAAAAAAAGAAAGGTGAAGTACAATTGCGAGGGTGGTAAAAATGTACTTGGAGTCACGGTAAAAGGGGTTCCAATTTTTTTTTCATTCCAACCTACACAAAAAATCTCGCAACAATACTCGCACTCTATTCTCATTCGCAGCAGATTCGAGAAGGTACGTTTTTTTTGCAACGGCTACCATCGACCACTAGGGTGAAAATAGGGAAAGTAAGAAGGTCGAAGGGCCAGAGTGACGAGGAGGAGGGCGGAAGGGGTGTAGCCGAATAAATGGAAAGTTTACTCAATCTCCGGTGAGGCCGAGTGGCGGATGAGGTCGGTGGGTGGCTGTGATAGTGTGGGTTACTAAGGGTGGGTCCTATAAATAAAGGGGTGAGTTGCCACTGATGGGGCCGATCAAAGCGCCGGCGGATGAACATTACCACAGATTGGATTTTTTTACCCAAATACCCTTAGAAAACCTATAGACCTAAACCTTGGAGCTTGGACGTATCGGTACGCGTAGCTAAAATATTTGCGTCAAAGTTTCATCCTGAAAATTGTTCACGTTTATCACCGGGGTTGCTACTATCTGATATATTCCTCGGAACAACCCTCGAGAATAGTCACTAATTCTCGAATCTCGGTAACGAGGGTAAGTGGCCGTAGGACAACCTGGTACAATTTTTAAGTACGTTCATTATATTCACTGGCAATTAACCAGCCCTTTTCTGTGACCATGCATTTATCCTCGCTGCTCACCCTCGTCTGGGAATTTAACGCTTTAACCTTCTTCGTATTATCGATGCACCAGGCCTATATTTACCCCGGTCACAATGACCGTGTAGGTTATCGAAAACCGTAGACAATCGAGGGACAGAGATTACTCAAGAGACAGAAAATGACTGAGTCTTACTCGGCAGGGAAAAAACGAGCCGCTTTGATTATATTTTAACATTTCTTTACTCCCGCTTAATATTATTAGCAAACATAAGATAAGATTCATTTACCCGCAGCACTGTGTGTTAAAAAAAAGTATTCTTTTTTGATCTCATCAATAGCTGATTAATTTAATTTATATAATTATTCTCTGACAAGTATATACGTATGACAGTTTCTTTGCTATAAAAAGCAAAGTGGCGCTTGTGAAGATGCCGTGTGGGCAATTAAACGTCTTCAAGATAAACAGGGTTGTAGCCATCATCGTTCCGAGATCGACGTATATATATTCCCACCTAATACTGACATGGAAGAAATCAGTATGAATGTAATTTGACAGTTAAATGTAATTAGCAAACTCGTACCTTATATAGATACCCGCACAACCTACATTGCACCTGGTCTAAGATAGTTTATCCGAACACCCTAAAAAGCCATATAAAACACAAGTAAGAAAGTCCCTAGGAAAAGCTATTTCCTTCTGTCATTACTCAGAGGGCGAGAAAAGTCGAGCATGAAAAGTGCAATATCTCTGTACCAGCGCCATTTTGTCTTCAGACGTTTCGGGAAGCTTCCACGACTAACCACGTAGGTCAGCCAACCTCCACGTACAAAGTAGTAGGTTGTACAGGTTCTCGAGGTGCAGTCTAAGCAACAGTGTGTGAGTAAATTTCGTGGGAGAAGCAAGCGAGGGCCGAGTGTTCGCAGTAAAACGAAAACACGAGATGTGTCTGGGCCGGCAACTGCTACAGCAGCAGGAGAAGGGACGTAAGAAGCTGGATGATAGTCGGGCGCACTCGATTTATTCATGCCAGCAAAATATTTCATGACCAACAGCTTTGAAGGGGATTATGCGTGGGGACATTGTAACGTGATGTGACTAAAATTGTCTGGCTATCAAAACTTGGCTAACGGTTCGGTAGTAGCGTTGCAATAAAGACAATTCTCAGCATTGATAAATTGGGTTCAGTCAAATTACGAATAATGAAGGTATACCATATGTAAATAAATTGCATGATATATACATATAGAAGGATCGTCTGATAGAGATTATAACAGATAAATATTATAATCCATATCACAAAAAATACATAAAATATTTCAGTTTCTTGGCAGTAGAATTCTTTAATCGGCTCATTAAAGATTTGAAGCTGTCCTATGCTGCCATTTTGATAGTAAAAGCCACCAGGGCTATTTACGGGTGCGTCATGTGTTATTGCGAAGTAGTACAGGTTTTCTAAGAAATTGTAGTTACATCATCCAACCAGTGTAACGGTGCTTTAGAATATTGCAATGAAATTTAAAAATGGAATGCATCTGTCCCTCGATTCACTATTTTGCATCCACGAGTTGTATCCACATTCTAATTAAGACTTTAGATAAATTACTTTTTGTGGTAAATGTCTACTTTTATTTTTACAGGAATCACGGAACAATTACACAGCCTTGCGTTAGACGACTCTAGCTTACTCGGCCTTGATGGCCATTAAATGTCACATGCTTCGTATATCTGACACGCTTCAATATGACGTAAAAAGGATCCGTTTATTCACGAAGAATAAGAATAGAGATAAATAATAACTTTTTTCAAACGAAAGACAGAACATTATTTACGCAATAGTATCGCACGCTTGTGATAATAAATTTTATTGCATGTTTAGTCAACAATTTGTAAAGTGTATTTGAAATTGTTGTAAATCTTGTTAACGTGTGTATAGTGATACGTGCGAGTGTAATAAAGTAGATCAATGCGCAATAAATACGTGATTTATATGGATTGTTGTAAACCATATCAGATAGAATATTAATGTTTACAAAAATTGTATGTATATTCCTAACAGTCTGCCTATGTTCTGCGAGCAACTTAAACACGCCTGTCATAACCAGATGAAAACGTCATAACATTATGTACAGTAGCACCTTTTGAACTTATGCCAATTCTAAGGATCCTTAATGATACAAGTAACCTTGTTATATTATATTATTCATAATCAAGTCGATTAATACTGAATGACGAGACACTTCGAAAACAGTGCTACGAAATTCCAAGAATTCCATACTTATTTTTTTCTAACGCATTTTCGCCAAGGACTATAGCATTAGGTAAACGTAGCGCGCAAGAGAAAAAAATATACACCTTGGTAAAAGTACGAGGGTTTAAATTAAATTGAAACGAGAAAATACCAAGGAATTCCAGAGCCCACAAATGTACTACTTAAAGCAAAACAAGCAACCCCGACAATAAATTTCTCGGTTGTACCCAAACGAGCACTACCCAGAAACCACGTACCGACTTGTCCATCGCAGTAGCATAATCCCTAGACTCACTGTCCAATAAGAGTAGAGTATCTCTGAGAAGTAAAATAGGGAATGGTTGTTGCCATCCACCTAAGTATTCCCAACGGGTGGTGCAAATCGAAAATAATAGTACCAACCTGCGTATCGGACAGACGAGGTTATTTGTAGACGTCATGAGCATAAACGAAACTCTCAAGCAACCTAATAACACACGTTGCACAACGACTATTACGCACGCATGCGTGGACGCACTGTGAATTGCCAAAAAGAATTTTGAAAGAAACATTGACTATAGCAAGGACAGCGTGGGTCATATAGAAATTGAGATTATGGTTAAATTAATCATGCTAAACGTTAATAAAAATCTATAAAAAATGAAATTTCTCAACCGATCGAAGCAACGCCGCATCTCGTCGAAGCTGAACTGGGCTAGATCGACATTTCAGCAAGACACCTAGCACTCTCTCCACTGGTAAGTACATGGGTTACGATAAACACCAGCCGTGCATATGTATCCTTTACACGAAGCTGGTTGTAGTAGAACAAGTATCTCTTTGGATAAAGTGAATACAAGTACGTTTCGTAACAGGAAGCTAAACTACGCTTAGGTTGATAGAAAGAGAGATACTTACGCTTCTAGTGTTTTTGGATATAAGAAAAGTACGGCTAGCCGAATATGACACAATGAAAATAGCACGTAGATATAGTACAGGTATATCAGTTTATATCCTGTATGTATCCCTAGTTAATGGTCTATGACAAAACCCTCCGAAGTATAATGGACATAGTTGCAGGATGCTTTTAGGTTAGGTGACTTACCTAATCTAGAATTACAGTAGGAAATGTAGCAGTATAATTAATTGTTTCTGTAGAATATCTTCGTAACGGATAAGAGAATTAATAAGTGTTGAATTATATAGTAGCACTGATTTTTGATATAGTATAGGATGTACGTATGTTGAACGGTACATTACTTTTGCACTGAAGAATATAGGAACTTCTGATTGAGTGTAATTTAATTGTTTTGTTTTTCATTCATTTCGATGTGGCAGGAAGTAAAAAATGCTTCGGAGGTATTTCTATGGGTTGTCACGTTGGCTGGAATCGTTAGTAAAGGTACTTAAACGCGATTGGAAGAGTGACTGCCGACGGAGCTATGGAGCTATGCTATGTTACGTCACTATATCAATAATGGCCGCCGTGTGACGTCGACCGGCATCACGTTCTCAGCTGGAACCTGATTCACACTAGGACGCAGTTCAGCTTCATTCCAGCTGTCGCTACTGCATGGAGTTTCCATAAGACGAACTAATTTTCCTTAAAAAATTTGTAATTTCCTCGACACATGCATTAATTTTGTATTTATTAGTCTCTGATTAAAGACTCTAAACATACATATGTTATAACTTATAAGATACCATCTTAACAATTCAATTGCAAGCTAAAACATGAATTAACGGTAGAGAATTTACATGTACTACAAACTTGTCCAACATTCAAAACCACAAATTTGTATAATTTTTATGGGGGACTGTACCTGCGTTTTGGGAGCTTTGCCAAGAGTTTTATTTCACAAATCGAGCCAAAAATACCAAGGCGCCGAAGGTTCCACGAGTAGCTACGTTCCTGAACCAGACCACACACGTTGTACGCTACTAACAAGAATTTTGCGTTGTAACGAACTATACATCTACTCGACAGAACACAGAACACAGATTCCACAATACATTGAAGGATGAACAAAACATGTATAAATGTAACGAATTCTGCTTACGAATGTGGCAAATTCTTGAGCGAGACTACCTTCGCGAAGGAACATCATAGTAACCGTTGTATTCAAATCGCATGTGCAAACTTTATGCCTATGGTAAAGACTATTTCGTATTTTAATGGATTTGTAACCAACCAACATTTTACAGCGAACCACTGATGGATATTATGTACTGTTTCCCCGGAGTATTCGAAGTAGACTATGGAAGTGGTAGTGCACACGTAGAAGGGGATGATCGCCATCAAACGACATTTATTGCTGCTCGATAAACAACCCAATAAGATTGGCTGTACTGGAAGTAGCGGCGTGGACGCTTTCGTCGGTTGCTGTAGGTGCCAGGGAGGCGAAGCAGCATCTGCTCGGCCGGTAAAGTAGGTAGCGGCCTGAATTACCGACACGAGTGGTTTGTATGACGACTAAAAACCTACCGCCCTCAACTACTCAGAAACACCCTCTAGGAAATACAGTGAATGAACTTGTTGGATGAATGAGTCTAAATTTAGCAGAACGTGTCGTTGCTAATGTCACTATACGAAAACTTGTATATTATATTTTATAAAAATAATGAAAAATGGAGCACTATATTGTTTTGTAAGCGTATACTCATAATGATAAAAATATAAACAATGTCTGTATGCAAAAATATATTTATAACTATCTATCTGCCTTAAAGAATATTGGTTAAGAGATTTCAAATATACAAAGATACTGATACTGCACCTGAATGCAGGCTAATATGCAACCCGACCTCTGTACCTTCCTACGTGACTAGGCAATGTAAGTAGGAGGGATGATGGTCCGCAGGGTAAAAGACGGATGGAGAAGTAGGGGAAGATCCAGGCAGACGGCAGCCATGATACCTAGTGGACCAATCGCGTACTAGAATTCAACCGTTACCGCGTAATGGCCGCGCGGTACCGCCCCGTATAAAACCTCGTGGACGTCACGCTTATTGGACGCGAAGGCGTTAAAAGTTTTATTGCATCCAAAGCAGTTACACCCGCTCGAACCCCACTCCATTCTCTTCGCGTAAATCGTAAAACCTTGGGATACGGCCCAGTATACCTCTTTACCTTGTGCGCCCCCTAGCTGACGCCCTTCGAACCCTCAGCAAATATTTTTGACGCAACTTTTTGAAAACGCGCGGGATATCTTCGACTCGTCTGAAAACAACTTGTTGAACTGCATTCAGTTTAATTGAGATACTTAAAAATTTATATTCAATAAATGAAATAAATAGAATAAATAAAACAAACAAACTGCGTATTCGAACTATTCGATTAACGTAATATTTTTGCGTCAAATATAAAAAAAGGTTTTATTATGAGAAGCACATTTGCAATAAGTACAGGTCTAAAATATTGCCTCTCAAATTACAATAATAACATAGAATAGTAAAAAGAAAATCAGATTTTTCAATAATAAGTATTATTGCAATGTGCTGACATCTGATGGGACACCATGGAATCATTGGCGCAGGTATACCTGTAAAATGGAAACCCACCGGTACCATCACGACAAGATCACAGAACCCAGTCTACATCTATCCCCTTTACATAACTACCATATCTGGCACCTCTGCGTCAACCTCTTGTGCCGCACACAAAATTTAACTGTTCGTGTCCCAACAATTAACTAAAAAATTTTGCAGATCTGCTTGATAATTTTGATGTCAAATTATTCGAATTCAACTAATTATAACAGTAATATTAGATTCACAAAATTCGGCTTTATTGCATTATTACGTCAGTGCCACCAAAGATATAATAAATAAACGTAACTCCAAAAACTGCTGAGTAATAATTCAAAATAAAAAAGAATCTGTCACCAATGTTTTTAGCAGAATTTTTTTGGACCTATGTAATACCGGTACACAAAAATTTTTATTATTTTTTAAACAAAAACAGCCCCATTTAATTTAACTCTAAATCATCCCCCATTAACAATCTTATCCTCGTTCACACCTAGAGGTCTTATAGATAACATGTTATTTCACAGTAATTAGACTAGACACGCCTGTCATGCATCAGCCACGGGTCAAAAAAAAAAACGTATTTTAATAATTGAGAATTCTCGTACACAGTCGACTAGCATAATTAGTTTTTAGCGTTTGAGAAAAAACTGTTTATCAATGATAACCTCGCAATTTGTCACTTCGCTCATATCGCTTATAATGCAGTTATTAAAATGCAGATTACCATGCCAACCTTTAATTATCATTCTGTAGCTATGTCTTCGCTATTATCCTTCTCTCTTTATCTTTCACTCTACGTAAACCGTAATGTACACGTGAGAGTCACGAGTTTGCAATAAATAATTGCGATGACATTTGCACAGGAAAATTGGAAATTGTAGCCATCTTGCATTCCCACCTTCCGGGACAATCGTGCTGTCATTAAAGGAATCTACAGACCGTGCAACACGTCATTACGAGCAGTTTGTTCAACCGGACAAGTAATTAGACCCGTTGAAATAATAAGCAATGTTAAAGCGAAGAAGACGGTTTGTAAGGAAGTCAGCTGAAAATATAATTGAGATATACAGTGATCTGATTGTAAAAAAAATCTTCATTAAACAGCACTGAGCAAAATTCTGTACTTCTGTATTTTCTTATGTACCTGGTCATCGGCTGTACGGTCAGGAATTTAAAGTATGTATTTTATTATAAGGAGCAATTCACGATCGACATTTTCGTGCTTGAAATACATTTCTTAATGATTTCTTCGTAACCCTAGAATTCTACATAATGATACTGGTTATTCATAAAAAAATTCTTGTCTTGTTATACGATAATAATAAGGAAATGATATAAATTGATAATTGGAGAAAATTTCCATTTCCATGAAACCTTTTGCTCGTAAAATTGGCAACGTATGCCGTAGCAATGATTATAAATTTAGATAATGACCAATATTGAAATAAAATTTTTACTGAATTTTATGAGATCACAAAAATAGATATACGTATCCTTGTACTCCAGCAATTCAAGCTGCCGCTGACATAAGGTAGGAAAGAAATGTGACGTATATTGGCGCATTCACGAGAAGACATTTTTATTCTGATATCGAATTTTTTTTTCATCTCTATATTGGTAATCTTTACTCAAAGGATATATACATATATGTATATATCAATTGCGTGTTTTCTCGATATAACGTTAATTATTTCTGCAGGGTTCTTATCGTACGACGCATGCACTTGATGACACGTGATAAGCTGACATGGATGATTAACGCAAAAGCCCGTCTAGTTAACGTCGAGGCTGCACGCTTCCTCGCATGACGTCACGTCATTCACTTTATGCACATGTAATACACCCTTATCAGTGGATCATGAATTGATGCATATTAATAATCATTTGAACATTCATAAATGTAAGTCTGCCCGGAGATCGTATGCAAATTCATTTCAACAAAAAGAGCGAAGAAAACTCCAAGATACCTATAGATACGTTTACTTGTTATAAATCATAGGTTTGTATAAAATCATCATATCCGAGGATAAATTGATATTATGGACGTTTGAAAAGAAAAATTCTTATATTATTGTCTATTTTTATTGGCTCCCATGCATTGTGATATTTTTCACTTTCTTTAGAAATTCTTTTGACTTTTATTATGCAGAATATCTCTCGAGTAAATACTGTAGGATATACCAATCCAAAAAGAAATTTAACAATCTCGTCAGTTAACGTTATCCGAATGCCAAGGCTGGTGGTCCGCATTAAATAACACTTGGCATCGAGTATGTTAGATTTCATCTGGTCACCAAGCGATTAGCTTAAAACCGGAGTTGTACCAAAGTTCAATGGCCTACTATACGAGGGAACCGACGACATGAAATTCTTTTAAAGCTCGTTGATGATTGTTACCAGGAAAAAAGACATATTTCATAATGATAATTTAAGTTACATGCACGGTTGGTGTATAAAAGACAATTATTCTAAGAGTTCGAAATTTGGTTAAATATAAGACAAAAAAATGTCATCATTCAATTCAGAAAATGAATATTGACATCAAAATACTAGTTGTAATTGAATAAAGAAAAAGAATAAAATTTTCGAGGTATTCCACTTTACCCATATCTATACTCATCTTGACGAACGCAAATTGTAACAACCTTTCGCAAACTGACAGTAACATTAAGAACGACACAGGCGACGCAGACACAGATTACATCACGAAAAAACTTTCAGAACTGTCGGGTTATATGTCACAATTGCAAAGATACAAACTAGAACCGAATCAAGATAAAAAAAACGACAATCCAAGAAACAAAGCACAAAAAAATAAACAGATCAAGAAAGAAGAGCAGCAAAACAATGAAGTTAAAAAAATAAAAAAGAGAAAGAAAAAGAACAATCGCAATGAAAGAAGCGAACAAAGATCCTTAATCCAAGCACAAAAGGGTATACGGAGAGCCAGAAAATGATAAAGGGTTGAACGAAAGATCGTGCGTTAGGCCAGCAAGACCAACACGAACTCACCTTATGGATCGATGAGCCCCATCCCCGTGGGCACCGGCACTGTGGTGGACCCGGCACGCAACGCAACATCATAATCACGGCACAAGCACGATACCCGCAGTAAAGGATACCTTCGTGTAGCATAGAACGTACAACAAGGACACGATCTGAGAATAAGTGAGAAACGTGGAAACCAGTGTAAAACCCATGAGAGAGAGCCCGGCTGACGTCCCGCAGGGCGAAAACCGGTGTCGGGGACGTCAAGATAAGGAAGAGGTTATGTGACAGGGTGAGAAATTCCGGGACGCGTCAGGAGCCGCACACGACTCAGGACATCCTGAGGCGCGGGTCGCAGTCTCGTAGGTCAGTTGCGGATCCCCGTAGGGGATGCCGTGGTACCGCGTGGAAGAAAGGGGTGGCCGTCGTCTACGTGGAAACGAACCGTAAGCCCGGTCCAGTGTATTTACGAGTTTTGGACCTGGCTGCAAGCAGGCTAGCAAACTCAGCCAAGTGTCGCGGAATAGAGTCCATGGGACGACCATGTGCTTCATGAGTCTCGCGAACGTCACTGCGCTTGCGTTTGTGAGTCTGACCCCTACGTCACTCTTGGCTACGTTCCCCTCGTGCTGCGCGGCAACATGCGAGATGGATACGCCATAAAACCCCGTGGAGTCAACTGTTACAACCCTCGCCCGCCGTCGTTCTTCCATAGGTGTGGGAGTGTCCATGCCACATATAAGGACTAGCATTGCTCCTAGGACTCTCTAGGTTGGTACCCTTGTGCTTCGAGATTGCAACACAAAACCTCTACCACCGCTGTACCACCCCTATTTTGCTTTCTTGATGCACGCCTGCACTCCCTATCCATACGCTATCTTTACGTTTCTCCTACTTCACCCTGCTCCTTACCCTTTCTACCGTACCGACATTGCACGGCTGCCGGTCCACTTTTTCATGCCCCAGGATGTTCATGCGTACTGCTCTTGCTTTACTATGCACGTCAGGTACTGTCATACGGGTTACGTTAATAAGACGCTTTACTACCCTTACCTTAATACACTCTCTATTCTGTATACAATTAGAGGATGCTTGAGAACGTAATGTTAATCAAGGCATTCTCCATCATTATTGTAGCAGACGCTACTTCTGATAGTATTTATGGAGTTAAGGGGGGAGGGAAGGCGAGAGTGGTATTGGCCATTTTAGAAATTTTTTGGAAATATATATGTGTATGTCAATTGTCATTATTTCTTTTTATAGATTGGAAAAATTGACATTATACCGTGTGCCTCAAAAGTAATTTGCTCCGAAGGCTTTAAGGACCTCCACTTGGTAACTGGGAATCCTCTCGGTCGTTAGTAATTAATTCGAGCCAGGAGGATGCTAATTTAAAGGACACCTTTAAGGATGCTCGGACAACTTTTCTACTGTTACACGTTTAACTGCTTCGACTTTCATTATTCCTCGGGACTACTCGGCGCTTCCTACATCTTTGCATATTAAACATAGGATTCACTTACGCAATTACGTCTAAACTATCTCAATGGACAATTCATATTTACATGTGGTTTTAACATGTAGCGTTTATCGCCTTGTAGACACGCTGTAAATGTCTAGACAATTTTCCATCAGTTTATGTCTTCATGCATCTAGTGAATATACCTATATACATTTCAGTAAAATAGTATTAAAATAATTAATATATCGCTATCAATTATTTCAATATAATCACATTGATGATCTCTGTTATCTTCTTAATGTCTGTTCAATAATCGTTAAATAAAGTATTTTTTAACGATACTATTATTCACTGCGTGGGGTATATGGGTGGTTGGCATAGAAATCATTCTTAAAAGAAATTGTTAACGCAGGATACCGATTATATTTTTTTTTTTTTTTGTAATCCATACATGTTGAGGCACCTTATATACTTGGAATCAGGAACAGACGAAGTTCTCAGTATCCCAACACTATTTATATTCATCCTATTGTGTATCTTCTAACATTCACCTACTCAAGGATAACCAGCCAGGCAAACGGATGGTGAGTGCGTCGACATAGCCTGTGCAATTTGCATAAGATACACGTGCGATAAAAAAGTAATAACTAAATGTATATGAACAAAGTTATCTCGCCGAAACATCGTGAAATTGTGTAGAATCTGCACCTATGTAAATTCCGATATACATTGTTAGACATACTAATCTGTATAATAAAATTAGTAAATATATATTGTCTTGTATTAAACTACAATACTACTTGTATTAAAACTGGCAAGTAATTCAGGAACAATGAATTAAATCAATTAAAACACACTATTTGAATATTTTCGAAGAATATTGTACTAGTAAGTAGGTTCCTCTACTTTCGAAATTTTCGAATGCAACTGTAACACAGTGAAGCATAAAAGTCAACAATGTAGAAAAACCATTGTGGTGACATCCCTTTCCCGAGGATGCAGGTAGATATAAAAACGAGTCGAAAATTACGGACCTAACCTACTTTCTCCCGGCAAGAATTCATTCTGCATCCCTAACGCGCACGTAGACAGATAGGAAAAAAATTTGTACAGCCTCATGGAAAGTGTTTACCCTCAAAGAGAAAGCGTGCTGCATGAATACTCGGCAAACAAACAAAATTCCAAGCCTGTATTTCTGAGCCGAAAACTAAGCCAAGTTGAATATATCTTTCCTGTTGCTTGAAGGAATCACAAGTTTTCTAAGAGAACCTACACTTTGCCTGCAATTTCATTCATGATAATGTCATTTTTTTCAGGTTTTCATTAAAAACAATTGTATCCAACTCGCATGTTATTGTAACGTAACTTGACTGAGGATAAAGTTTATTGACTTTAATAATCCGTCCTTTTTTTTCAAGTAGGTAAGTGAGCATAATACAATGTGTGTTCGACAAAAGTGTAAAAATTATTTTGAAAGTTAAATCATGATAACGTCATGTTTTCTTAACATTGCAGTCGAGCTGAACAAATACCGCACGCTTTGTAACATTTAAATAGCCACTTCAGTGCCTACATACGTTCATCTGATACTGGGCAATTTACTCTTTATTCTTTTATTACCCCCTATGCTGTATACCTGTATCAGTACTTTGTAAACACGGATACTCGGATGAAACATATACTTTGTCGACTACTTAATTACATGTGTATTATCGTGAACTCGTTAGCAACTAAACATTACTGTAGAAAACATAGTGAAATAGTAAAAAAAGTCGCGTATCTTAACTAGATTTTATTAGATTTTATGGACAGTACAAAAATGAGTGAACGCTATACCTGTTGTATGTAATTTTATCTTTAGAATTGCAATTATTTCGGTATTCGATATACAGGGTGAGACTAAAATTTGGAATACGCTTTTATCATTGCAAATATAAAAAAATGATTTTTATCAAGCATCAAACATGAGAAGATAACAAAGCAGCTGTAAAGTGATAATCAATATTTTTATTAGTTTTTTAAAAATATTCCTAGCATACAAGTCATTGACAATTGAAAATCAGGAAATCCAAGGACAATCGAATTTTTAAAAAGAGCGTTTGGCGATAAGCCCGTTAACGATACGTTACGTTTTCATGCCGACGGCAGCCATAGCAGCTTGCCACCTGTTGAAAATAAAATTTCAAAAATTCTCTCAACATAAATTTAGTTAGCGTAATCCCCATTCTGATATACAAAATTCGTTTCTATAAGACAGTTTTATTTATAATTATTCAATCGTGCTACTAATTTCGCATCTAAACGTAAAATACATTGATGCAGCAAATTCCTATTCCCATTCATATATAATAGGAATGAAAATAACTAAAAGAAAGGGACCTTCCTAAACGTTGATACCGTAAAATAAAAATAAAATCTTTAATTTTCCAAAAACTCAAAAAAGTTACATCATTTTCAGTTGCCAAGTATCGAAAGCCAGTCAGTAAAAGATTACTCCAAAAGTTGCACCATCTGATCGGAATCAAGTCTCAAGTTCAGTAAAGTACGATACTCCGCTGAGAAAGCATAGAGCTTGAAAATTAAGACATTGATTAAAATGCATTATATAAAATATTGCTATTTTGCATGGAAAGTCGATACGAGAACCAGCGTCTGTTATTTAGTAGGCTGCGCGAGAGAGTTTCAGATTGCATTGAGATGCAACCGAATGGCGCTGGCGCGCAGGATAAAGATGGGCGTGGCCATGAGTTTTAGTGCCGTAGAACCAATCGATTTCACGAAATCCCCACCAGAGGCGCTGTAGCCAACATTACCATGGCTCAGCAGCGCAACATCGGTCTGAAATATCATGAGATTTTCAATGCATCTCACCCTTTTATGCCCTTTACCATCAGCACTGCCGCCCATTGTTACCACCTTCTAATCGCACGAGGTATACATATACCAACCTCTGCAGAAAAATAATGCTAATTGATTATATGCTACCACGTTCGTTTATCTTTCAAGAGCATGGATGAGGTGCGTATAGTAAGCAGAGACGAGAAGGCAGTTAATTAACTCGTGACGCGCTCGCGCTGGGTTAGTTCTCCACGAAACTTAGAAGCGCGTCGAGTTTGATTCGTTTCCTCTCGAACTTTACCAGAATTCTTTTACATTCCGCGTGTGTCTAAGGAACCTTCCGAAATGAATTAATGAACCACCCTGTAACCGGAAGGAGTAGACAGACATGAGAAGAATCAAAGATACGTGGATAATCTCCAGTTTGTTGCTCAGCAAGAGACAACCGTGTCAAAATAGAGGTAATTCAAAAATCTTCATCATACAAAAGAACGTTTTCCTTACTTTTAAATCTGTTACAATAAAATATAATCATGTAACCCTCTTGTTTTTTTTTGTTTTTTTTTTTCGTTATTTTCAGGAAACTCGCTGTCATTAGCATTTGAGGTTAGTTATGACTTGAAAACATATTTCAACGCATCAGATTTCGCCCTGCGTCCCGTAGATCATAGTTAGAATAAATATCATCAGTAGGACAAGAATAAAAAAATAACTGACAGGCTTTATAATAATTGTCAATAACGAAGCATGACGCACGCGTCACTAACAACGATTCTCCCGACGGCCAGCGAAAGCCGTCGCGACGTCTCGTCCAAGGACACCACAAGCATGCATTCTGCTTACCATAGTCCCAGTGATGGCGCAGCGTCTGACAGCCAGCGGAAGTAGATGAACCTCGCGTCCCGTTGTTTGCACCAAGAAGTAAAAAATGCAAGGAAAAGAGAATCACAGGAATTAACGAAAACCAAAAAACTAACCACGTCCCGAAAAATACCCGATAGAATCCCTAGAGAGAGAAAAAAAAGGAAAGAGATCCGTCGGAATGGCACATCACTAACAAGAGCAGCCTGGTATCGCGCACGAGGTCCAGCACGTATACTCTATCAGAACAAACAGAAATAGCCGCGACACTCACTGTCCGCCTATACGAACATGCGTGAACTCACGTGAACATTCGTGAATTTCCGTGCGTACCCGGACTGACGAACTTACGTCATCGAGAGATCAGACAGGCAGACCGGCTCAAGATGAGGCACGACTCAAATCGTACTGCCTGACCGGACCAGTTGATTCTGCCGGTTCCGGTGCCAAAGGCTGTTCCTGGTTTGGCGTGTAACGCGAGTTGGCAGAATTTGGCGACTAGAATGCGGCGTATGCAGCGAACGCGATGGCACCGTTCGGCGTTCGGTACTATACGCCTTGGCTTTGCTATACTATAAGGTAGTAAGTGAGTGAGACGAGACCCCTACCGGCGCAGCCGTACATCTTAGTATTATGGGCAACTCACATTGGAAGATACGCCATCAAGCATAGCCCTAGCGGAGCGCGCGAGCGAGCGAGCGATTGTAAAAGTTTTAGGGACACTTTGCGAACACCCTACTCTCTCTGGCTCTCTTTGCTTCCCTACCGTGCATGGGACTCCCCCTTTTGGCCTCGCCCTCTCTCGCGCGCTTTCCCTCTTCCTTCCGCACCTTCTTTCGTCCTCGCTCTCTTTCTTCCTCCTTCTAGCGTGCTCTCTCCTCTCGATTCACTCCTTCACTCTCTCCTTGTCTCTCCCGTACTACGGAGCTACCACCAGCGCCGGTATCGTTCGTATGCGTTGCGTAGAGAGGTATCGGTATGGGCGCGGCGCTCGGGAGAGGAGACACCAGAGAAGGGAGAGAGAGGGTGAATAGTTGTGCGAGGGTGGGGCGAAGGGAGGAGAGGAGAAAGAGGAGAGTGAGAAGAGAGAAAAGAGGAGAGACCAGGAACGCTTCTGTAGAATGTCTTGCCACTGTGCGGTGGCGCCCTCCGATACGGACGGATTATATTGTCGCTAGATTTTTCAATGTTAAATTATATCTCTTTTCCAGATTGTTTAATAGGCTCGGGTTTGGGAGGGCTATGACCGTTTTCATGGGACATGGTGGTTTGGGACGTGGGTATGAGATTTTTCGAGAATTATCTCGTCTTCGGTCGGTACTTCTTTTTTCTATCCCTCTAAGTGCTTCCTCGGGCTTACAATTATTACTGATGCCATTTATTATACTCGTAAAGAGGTACTTGACAAGGAATTTCGAGGATTCTCAAGAATTCCCAAAGTTTCGTGTTATTACACGGTAAGAGACCCACGACAATCTCGTGAAAGACTCTGTGGAATTTTGAAATATTTCTGTGCACGATAGTCAACACATGCGTTAATGCTCTACAGCCTATCGCTATATCAGTACCGATGAGGCGTAAGAATTGCTTTCTTGCGATTATGTAAAATTTTGTAAAATTCATCCATGCGAATAGATATTTCATATAAAACCAGCAGCAAGATGTCAGGTCAACGCTTTTCTTGTTTAATCATCATACATGTGACTTAGATTCGAAGAAAACTTGGAAAATAAATGAACGACATTTTACCGTAAAGCAGTATTTCGAATGAACGCTCCGTTACTCGAAAATGGAAAAAAATATTTAAAAATTAAGAAATACAGCCAATGTTATTTCACAAGTAAAATTATTAGCTAGAATCTAATTCTGTTATCTCATCACAGTTCATCCTTGTGTAAAGGCAAATAGTGTAAAGGCTTTGACTGTTCACCGAACGCTGACCATTCGTTCCGTTTTTATACGTACCACTGGGAACACTGGCTA